TGTGTGTGGTTTTATTGGTTTCTATTATCTTAGACCACTCTGTTGTTTTTGGTACTTTTCATTGTATTGAATTATGGATGTTGGTGACTTACATGTTGCTCGCAGGAATTTCTGTCCAAATTTTTCTCAATTCGATTTTTTTTAATATTGGCCTTCCTTTTTGCACATTCTTTTAATTTTTCCTTATTTCGAAACACCTTTTTTTCTCCTTTGTATTTGAAAGAAAATGTTGTGAGATTAGGGTTTTTGGTTGGCAGTGTATTTCTTTCAGGATGTCATGTGTGCCACTATTGTCTTGTTTGCATGCTTTCTGTTGAGAAATCCGAGCTTTTTGTTTTATAGATGATTTTTCTTTTTCCCCCTGTTTTTGCTCATAATTCTTTCCTTTCCCTTAATCTTGGAGAGGCTTACAACTATATGTTGTGATCTTTTCGTGCTTATCCTCGTGGGTTATCTCAGTTTAGGTCTTCTCTCATTATTGTTCAGTACAACAAATCTGTTTTTATCATGCTCTTGAGTTTCAGGCGGGATATACTCACGATTATATTTTAACTATAATAATGATTTCTTCAAGTTCAAGCTGAACAGTTTCAAAGTCAGTCCCTGGCTGTGTTTTAGCTGCTAAATTGAGCTTTCCATCATCTCTTTCCACAGATACAGTCCATTTGATTTCTGTGCCTTCCATTTAGAGAAGAAGCTCATGTCTATAGTCCTCATTTTTATTGAGCAAAGGTATTTTCTATGAACAAGTCATTGGTCTGGCAAAATTATATCATGCTATCTCCAGCTTCATTTCTCTCACCAAGACCATACTTTCCAACTATCGTTACTTCTTGTTTCCTACTTTTGCGTTTCCATAGCCAATAATCATCAGTGCATCATCATTTCAAGTTTAATTAGTTTCCAATCGAAGACGTTGGCACAAGTTTTTATGGTGGTGCCTTAATTTGTATAATAGTTGTATTGGATTTCCTTGAAGACAGATCGATATAATTCTATCACAGACAGCATTGCACTTCAAGGTAGACCCTGAAATGCCCTTTTTTAGAATGAATGCCACCCCATTCCTTTTGATTGTGTCACTCACAGCAGAGTAAACCATTTGATTTTCTGTTTGAAGATGGCCAACCCAGTCACCTCTCGTTTCAGCTCGCCAGTGCGTAGGATTTTGATCTTTATGTGTTCCATTTCATTTTTGACAACTTTCAATATTCCTAGATTCATACTTTGTACAAAGCAAGTCCCAAATACTGTTTGCAACTCTTCTAATTTTACGTTTTGACCCATCAGCATATGAAGATCCTGAATACTTAACTCCCACAGGCTTTATGCCATTCACTTCACGGTGGCCCACTGTATTTTGAGAAGGAAGTTCCTCCTCAGTCTCTGACCTTAGGGGCCCGTTCTCTGGCACTATTTCTGACAGTGTTCTGCTTCCATTCATTAGGCTTTCAATATCTGACAATGTTACAGTTCAGTGCATAAGGTTTTCAGTGGCTACTGCGTCTAGGGTGGATAGCGAGTTCTTTCTTAATAGTCTGGAAGCCCCTGAAACTTGTTCACTTTGGGTGACCCTGCTGGCATTTGAAATACCAAGGACATAGCTTCCAGTATCACAGCAACACACAAGCCACTACAATATGACAAACTGTCAGACAAGTTGTTGAGGAAGCTTAGAGGAAGGCTTATTAACAACCTGTCATACACGGGTGACACAATCTTGCTTGCTGAAAGTGAGGAGGCCTTGAGGCCCTTGCTCATGAAGATCAAGGATTACAGCCTTTAGGATGGACTATAACTCAATGTAAAGAGAAAAAGAATCGTGATAACTGGACCATTAGGTAACCTCACTGTAAATGAAGAGATTGAAGAATTGATGCATTTGAATTAGGGTGCTAGTAAAGAATATTGAAAAGTTCCATGGGCTTCCAAAAGAACACACACATCTTATCTTTAAAGAAGTACAGCCAGACTACTTAGCAGAAAGGATGGTGAGGCTTTGTTTCACTTACTTTGAACATAAAATGCCACTGTCAGTTGGAACTGAGTTGAGGGTACCTTACAACAACGACAACATAAGAACCATTTTGAGGAGGACGTAGGGCCATGCAAGGTTATGTTGTACATAGGGGTCACGATGAGTTGGAACTGACTCACTCAATGGGACCTCACAACAACAATAACACCAATATTTTGCTCTTACTAAATAATCTCAGGAGACATTCTAATCCCTCTCACATTCCTGTTTTTCCTATAATCTGAAATTCTATAATCATACTATGGCTGTGGAAATTGGGGTAATTTATTAAAACATTTATAATTTAAGTGTGACTTTTGATTAAACTCAAATTTTACTACATGAATTTATCATTTAAAAATTGTGTAGAAATGTTCTGAAACTAGTACCAACTTGAAAAGGCTTGCAATTGGTTTTCCACCCTTTTATTATTTGTTTGTTAATATTACTCTGAAAATTACTACTGGCATATTCACCCAACTCTTTATTATTACAAAGCATTCTAACCTTTATTTACAGTGTTTATTTTGGTTTAAGTGTCTTGTTAACTTCAATCTTACCTTCATTTTTCATTTCATTTCTTCATTTTTTTGATTCCATCCATCCATTATATAAACACGATGTCTTGTTTCATTCAAATAAAACCTCTTGTGACACTTCAGTTTCTAAAAAAAATTTATTTAATTAAAAAATATTTTAAATCATTTTTGGGGGGCTAATACAACTCTTATCACAAACCATACATACAACCATTGTGTCTGTTCCTCTCTTCACTGTGCTAACCAAGCTTTTCAAAGAATAATCAACACTTGTGTATTTTTTTCTGTCACTTCATTTAGTATACACTCTTTAATCCATTATAATCTGCCTGTGTTTCTATTCTGAAGAAAGGAGAAACACCAAAGTAATGGAACAATGAAACAACATCGTCTGCTCATCAAGTTCTAAGTGAGTGCTTGTTCCAGATGTTTATGTAGACGTGTGGAAGCTATATTGTACAGCATTTACATCTTGTTCCTGGGATCCTCATTTTTGTCTGTTATAGAAAAAGAGGCGGGTGTTCAGCAAGCAGCATAGTGTGCTTCCACTGCCACGCCATCCTACCTTCCAGTTTGAAAGTGATCATAGGCATTGAAGGAAACATTAATGATGTTTAAAAATTATTAAGTGCAAACATTGGCAAAACATTATTTGCACTTCAGAAACGTGCTGTGATTAAATCAACAATACTGTGTTTAAATGTCTTGTGAAATTCAAATTAACTTACTCTATTTTTGTCAATAAAGATTAGTTTTCAGCATAATATTGGCATTATTTCTTATGACAGTATTTGTAATACCAAGCCTAGTGTTACTTTTCTTCAGGGAATAACTATGGATTCTGTTTAAAGGTCCAATAGTGTTAATGTAATCATACCATCTTCATTATATTATGCTCTAACTAAGTGGGATGATCTGCTGGGTGTCGATGGCATTTCAGAATGTCATTGTATAAGATGTTCACTTTGTTGACTCAGATGGACTTGACTGCATGGACTTTACTGTCAGGTGAGGTCCTCCAAAGGGCATCAGTGTCATAGAGCGCCTCTGCAGAGTCTGTTTGAAGCGAAGCAACAGGTTCATTGGTGCATAGAAGTGGTCTGGACCAGGAAGACGTCTCAATTCACAGAGTGAAAGTGGCCACCACACTGGGCAGTAAGGATAAGTAAGTATAGTCAGAGCAGGAACTAAATGTGAAAAAAATTATAATTGGCTGAAAATCAGGGAGACAACGGTAGGATATCTAGAAATGCCGATTTAGCAGGGTTAGATAGGTAACAGGAGACAAAGGCAGGATATTTAAAAGCATCACTTCAGGAGGGATAGGTGGGTAGCACAAAAATGGGATTATGTGATTGGGTAATGGGTATATGCCTTTTGTTACACACAGATCACCAGACGATGACTGGACAAGTTTTTTTTTTTTTCTATAACCTGTTTGTAAAATTGTTTACTCCGTCTGCTCTGTTTCTGGGGATCCACTATAAAGATTTATCAGTAATGCTGTGCATTGTTTCATGGTTATCAGCTATCACATCTTATGTTTGTTTGACTTGAGTGAAAAAACCCTCTAGAAAATTGTTGTGAAACCCTACACCTGCCAGATCTCTGAACAAAGGGAAAGTCTTTAGGGCATATGGTCAGCATTAAGATGAGAGGAACTGCTATTCGAAAAGTTAGCTTTTACAATTAAGGATTCTAGACTCATGTTAGGCTTTCACATGGAGTTCAGGCTCGGCTTTCACACCGCGCTATTCACACACAGCAATTGCCTCTGATTTTGCGCTCGTCTACGTTGTTATAATGAAAGACTTTCTATTCAAGGTTCTTAATGCTTTTTTCATTCCAACTTGATCGTTCTCCAGTCACCAAACCAGTTTGGTGGGACCTTATTGCTCTCAGTGAAGATAGCAAATGATCTCACATTTTATTAAACACTGACCTTGTGCTCTTCATTTAAAAAATGTTTGATTCCCCTGTGTTTCTCTTTTGAAATTTTTAGTATTACTGATGCTTTGAGGAAAAATGTTTAAGATTTTGATTTACTGTCCTTACTATGGAGCCAGTAATTAACCATTAAAATTATTCTGTATATGTTTGTTATTCTTAATATTTACACTTTCATTGTATTGTCATAAATTGTGTAAACTGTTGAAAAATGATGTAGTTTTCTGAATGGGATTTTGTGTTTTTTAGTGGAAAGACCTGAATCTGAATTAGTTTTCAGTCTTTAACTATCTTATGAAAACATCGACTTATCTGCTGTCAAAATAGAACCAATTTAAAATTATGTAGAAAAAAAGTCAATATGAAGAAAATACATAATTGATTAGCCATATATATTTTTATGATGTGTATACATGAATATCATATCTGTGTTGAAAATTATGTTGAGATTAATATTAAAATTTTTTGTGCTTAATTATGTTTTGTAATTATTTTAGAGCCCCAGAATATTGAAGATGAAGTAAAAGAAAAAATTCAGTTCCTTCTCCATGAAACAGTACACACAGACCATGGTATGAATTAAAGTCTATTTTGTCATGGGTGGCTAAAATAATGTTAAATTTCCTAAGCTAACCTGGACATTATTTAAAATTTTAAATGATAATTCATTGTTTGGTTGGCATACTTTGACTTACTATTCTCACTCCAAAACTCAATAACACAAGTTTTCTCACTCAAAAACTCGTTATCATCAAGTTATTTCTGACTCACATGACCCTTAAGACACACCAGAACTGCCCTGTGTGTTTCTGAGACTAGAGCACTTAACAGATGTAGAAACTTTTCTTCCAGCAAGTGCCTGGGGGGTTCAAACTGCTGACGTGTGGTTAGTCGGCCATTGCTTAACCTACTATGCCAGTAGGGTCCCTATTAAAGTCATTATTACAGGATAAATGTCATTTTTGACTTATTGAGTTTATACCCCAACTTATTCCAAAGGAAACTTAACTGTATAAATCTTACACCAATGGTAGGAATAAGTGAGAATAAGCAAAATTAATGATAGGTGGAGAATTCCATTGCCATCTAGGCAGTTACAACTTAGAGGACAGACAGAGCTGCTCCGTAGTATTTACAGGACTGCGGTATTTATAGGATGAGAGTGCCCCCTCGTTCTTTTGTCGAGTGACTGGGGAGTTAAACCCCAGCCTTTTGGTTAGCCATCTGGTGCTTTATCCACTGTGCCATCAGCACTCCTTTATATGAAGAATAGTAGAGGGGGAGACTAGAACACAACCAAGCACGTTGTTCTAGGCTCTGTGTTGCTGTAGCTGACCCTCAAATTTACCTCATGTTGGACTAGTCAGCTATCAGACCAAAATGAAGATAAACTTTTTACCATAAAGTCCTGCAACCCAAGAGAGAAGAAAGACATCTTGCTCATTCAGGGATTATGAATATTTCCCCCAATATGTAGACCTAAAAAATTTTATTATGTGAAATTCTGTATCACACCCCATGTCATTGGGCATATTCTAATTAATCAGACTCACTACCCTAGAGTTAATTGTGTCTCATAGTGACCATATATAGGGTTTCTGAGGCTGTAAATATTTCCAGGAGCAGATAATAAAATCTTTCTCCTCCAGAACTACTGGTGGGTTTGAACTAATGACTTTGTGGTTAGCAGCCCAGTGCTTACTCACCTAGTACTTACCCTACCGGGCCTTCTATTTTAATGTCAGATGCCATCGAGTCCATTCCGACCCATAGTGACCCTGTACCCAACAACGACACTGCCCGGTGCTGTGCCATCTTCACAATTGTTCCTTTGCTTGAGCCCGTTGTTGAAGCCACTGTGTCAATCCATCACCCCGAGGGCCTTCCTCTTTTTCACTGCCCCCCCACCCCCCCACGTTGCCAAACATGATGTCTTCTTCAGGGACTGGTCTCGTGACAGCATGGACAAAGTATGTAAGACAGTGTCTCCCCATCCGTGCCTCTAAGTAGCCCTGACTGTACTTCCAGGACAGATCGATTTGCTCTTTTAGCAGTCCATGGGCTGCCAATATTCTTCTCTAACACCACATTGCAAATGCATCGATTCTTCTTTGGTCTTTTTATTCAGTGTCCAACTTTCAGATGCATATGAGGCCATTGAAAATACCACGACTTGGCTCAGGCAAACATTAGTCCTCAAAGTAACATCCTTGCTTTTTAGTACTCAGAAGAGGTTTTGCGAAGCAGATTTACCCGCTGTAGTACACCTTTTGATTGACTACTGCCTCCGTTAGCATTGATTGTGGATCCAAGCAAGATACAATCCTTGGCAACTTCAAACTTCTCTCCATTTATCATGCGGTACCTGTTGGTCTAATTGTGAGAATTTTGCCCTTCTTTTCTTTGAGTTGGAATCCACACTGAAGGCTGCGATCTTGTTCTTTGTCAGCAAGTGCTTCAAGTCATCCTCATCTTCAGCAAGCAAAATTGTGTCATCTGTATATCACAGGTTAATAGGTCTTCCTTCAATTCTGATGCTGCATTCTTCATAGAAGGCAGCTTCTCTGATGTTTTGCCCAGCATACAGTTTGAAGGCGCATGATGAGAGGATACAACC